AAGGGTACAGTTTTAATGGGTGAAATTTCTCCTCATGGATATAAAATACTTTTGGATAAATAATGTACCAATTCTATCATTTGGACAATCATTACATACTTTCTCTAACTAGAACCTAATTTTTTCTGCTTGAAAAAGATTAATTTTTTTCACTTTCTGTGCGTCACCTGGTTTATTACATGATTTTATTTGAGTACAAGAGGGTATTATACTGATTTGGTTACTCTTCTGTGAGAGAATTAATACTCATGTCACTAAAATCAGTGGACCTACTAGTCACATTTGCTTATTTTTATTTAGCACATTGTCTTCCTAGGTAACATACTTAACATACTGCCTTTTACTTATGCTTATGGATTGCTTTGAGATGTTACTCAAAGTCGTGTGTCCTGTGCCTTCAAATCATTCCAGATAATGTAATATTTTTTAAGTAGGGATATTGATATTATCATCTACAATTAGCAATAGAATATCAAATCATATTGTCATTTCTCAATTATTTTTATCTAGTTACTGATGAGGGGATCTTATCAACATCATATATAATATGAGAAATAGAAGGAATGGCTTGTATGTACAATGCAATAAAAGACCCTTCATCTGGTCATAATTGTGAGGTAGTAAGTAGTACTTTAAATAGAATATTAAGAAGTTTTAGACAGTTTGTATATTTGGAACTGTGCCTTTTTCTTTTTTTTGGAAAAGTATACATTTAAATTTTGTATATTACAAAGTATACTATTAACAATTTTTTTGCAATAATATATCTCAGAGCACTTTGTAATGATGCTTAACAAGATATGATTGTCTGTTGAGAGTCACTGAATTTAAGAAATCAAACTTTAATTTCTCTTCAAACTCTGAAGTACATGCTATCTTCTAGGATTTTTCTGTTCAAAGTATGAAGTTCATGTATGAAAGTAAAAAATGAGTTTTTATAAGGAAACTATTTTTCTTTTTAGTGGCTATAAATTAAAGTTATGAATGGAAATCCTGATCTTACATTGCTTAATAGAAAAAGGGGAAAAAAAAATTACCACTACAAAAGTAAATCAGGTATTTTCAAAAATATAAATCTTCTAAAGATTAAAAACGTGGGTTAAATCTATTTCAAGATACGTTTTCTGAAAATTATTTGATATCAATAAGTAATATAACTGATGGATTGTAAGAAGAATCTTATGCTATAATGAGTGTGCTCTTTTCTTGAATGTGTTAATATCTTTTGTGATGTTAGCTTCACTGTCTTTCCTTCCACTTCATTTTAGGAAGAAAAAAAAAGGAACCCTAGAGAATGCTGGGCTGTTCCCTTGGCTGCATACACAGTGCTAATGAGGTGCCTTCGGGAAGGGGTAAGCCTCCTTTGTTGTCATCTGTAGACACCTGCAATTGTAATAACCCTTCAGGCACTGTGTGAGGATTGTAGCCTGCAGCAGTGCAGGAGCTTGTCAACCAAGTATTGCTCCTGAATTTAAATAATCCCGACAAGCCACTGTGAGCAATGACCTACTGTAGACCAAGTATAAAACGAACTAGCTTTCTCATTCATTTAAATGTCTTTTTAAAAGATGATAGTAAATATAAACAACATAACTAGTTCTTAATAGCGTGCTGTAATCACCCTCCTGAACCCTTTTAAGTTTTCGTGACAGCAGTTTAGTAATGCAGAGAATTTTCTGTGAACCTCAGATACCCCATGATTATCTTGTCAGGATGACATTTTGAGGTTCAGAAACAGGGAACCTTCCACTACTATCCATTGATTTTAATATTAAGTAGTATTTATTAAGTGACGTGATTTTTCAATTTATTCACAGCATTTCCTATGCTATTGTTAATGGCTGAAAACCAGCCAGCTGGCCAACGAACCGACTCATATATATGTAGCTCCTCTGTGTAACTATGTAAAGGATTTAGTAACCGACCTAAAAGGCTGGCATTTTCTGTTTTCTTTAAACNAAGCTCTACGGGGTTTTACCTAGTGATCCAAAAATGAAATTTGAACACTTCATAGCCTATAAGTTTTTGAATACTTAGTCATTTGTTGTTATAGAATATAATGGAGCAAGTAAATTGTACTTTATCAATAATATGGGAATTAAGTCATTTTTATTTATAGTCAAAAGACACATTTGGGTTCATCATTCAAGGCCTCTAGCTAGACACACTTGAGGGCACACAGATGAAGAAGGTGAAATTCCTGTTTACACATTCATCTCACCTGTTGTGGGAAATAAGATAAAAATATAAAGTGGAATACATAAATGCAGAAAAACAAAATACAGGAACTCAAAGGAGAAAGGAGTCTTCTAGGGATCTCTTTAATGTATACAATAAATTCTAAAAGCTTTTTATCTTTAATTTTTAAAACTTAAGTTATCGTCTGGTAAAAAGTGATTAATTCTAGTCCCTAAGGTTGTATCTTTTATCCAATATCCCTTTTCCACACCTGCCCCCATTTTTTTCATTGGATACAGAAAATGAAGAATTTTTGATAGTCATGTGCATTTTTTTTTTCAGGAGAAGCATTATTATTTTTTGTCTTTGAAAAAGAATGCTTTTATTATTTATTTATTTTTCATTTTATTGTTATATAATATAATCATTTTTTGTGGCCCTTTACCAATTTCTCCCTAACCTTCTTCCCCCTTTACCACCTCTGGTGGCCTCAGTTCTGTTTTCTCCTTTTGAAAGTTCAAGGAATTATTGTGATTGTTTTACCTTTCCTTCTCTCTTCCTTTTTTTTTTCCAGCTCCCACTTATGAGTGGGGACATGTAGTATTTCTCTTTCTTTACCTGGCTTATTTCACTTAACATAATTTTCTCTGAGTTCATCCATGTTGCTGCAAATGGCAGAATTTCATTCCTTTTTATGATAGAGAAGTATACCGTTGTGTGTATATACCACATTTTCCTTATCCAGATTGTTTCTCGGAGATTTAGGTTGATTCTTCTATTACTCTCGAATGGGCTTTGAGGAGAGAGACTTCCTCTTTTTTGGGTCTCTGCTGGTGACTCGCCTTGTGTCAATGCATTTGAAAAACAAAATACAGGAACTCAAAGGAGAAAGGAGTCTTCTAGGGATCTCTTTAATGTATATAATAAATTCTAAAAGCTTTTTATCTTTAATTTTTAAAACTTAAGTTATCGTCTGGTAAAAAGTGATTAATTCTAGTCCCTAAGGTTGTATCTTTTATCCAATATCCCTTTTCCACACCTGCCCCCATTTTTTTCATTGGATACAGAAAATGAAGAATTTTTGATAGTCATGTGCATTTTTTTTTTTCAGGAGAAGCATTATTATTTTTTGTCTTTGAAAAAGAATGCTTTTATTATTTATTTATTTATTTTTCATTTTATCGTTATATAATATAATCATTTTTTGTGGCCCTTTACCAATTTCTCCCTAACCCTCTTCCCCCTTTACCACCTCTGGTGGCCTCAGTTCTGTTTTCTCCTTTCTCTTTCTTTACTTGGCTTATTTCACTTAACATAATTTTCTCTAAGTTCATCCATGTTGCTGCAAATGGCAGAATTTCATTCCTTTTTATGATAGAGAAGTATACCGTTGTGTGTATATACCACATTTTCCTTATCCAGATTGTTTCTCGGATAAGGTTGATTCTTCTATTACTCTCGAATGGGCTTTGAGGAGAGAGACTTCCTCTTTTTTGGGTCTCTGCTGGTGACTCTCCTTGTGTCAATGCATTCGAGTGGCTAGTCTAGGGCTGCCTGTGTAGTGGCTGTAGCTGCTACTCTGGTGGTGAGCTGCTTTTGCGGCAGCCGTGGCTGCGGCAGTGGCTGTGGCGGGCCACCTGCACAGAAGTGATATTTTCGGCATGCTTCTGCCTTCTGCCAGGTGGTGGGGGCTGCCCATGGCTCCTGCCTACCTCATGTGTATTGTTATTATTAAATAATTATTGTTTATAATTATGAGATAGTGATATAGTTTTGTGATTCAGTAACACACTTGCTTTCTATTGCCTTGGTATGTATGGCAAGTCTTGTGTATTTTTCATAAAGGGGGAGGAAGTTCAGAACTCTATAACTTCTGAAAATTTTATACACATATATTCAAAAAGCAGTTAAGTATGTGCTTTTGGTATCCACTAACATTATCCCTACAAAATAGATAAATTAGGGGATTATTATTCTCCCTAAAAAGGATTTCTATCCTTATAAAAATAATTCCATTATAATATTTCTTAAAATAGCACATTTATCTAATGCATTCAGGACATAGTTTAAGATAAAATAATTTTAAACCTTTTATCTTCAACAGTTTAAAAACTTTTTTCATGTAGAGAACGGTTTTTCCAGTACCTCCTAGTATTTCTGAATGTGTGATCTTTTCCTGTGAAACATACTTCATAAACAGAAGAGTGTATGAAATGTATATGTATAGTTGAAAACACACTCACACACTCACTGTCTTAAAAAAAAAAAAAAAAAAGAAGGCTGGTAGCTTAGAGAATTCCTTTCTGTCCCTTTTGGATTTCATCTTGTCTGTTCTTTCAGGGCGTGACCACTGTTCTGACTTTGGTGATAAATATTCCCAAGTTTTTCTTTTTGGTGTTCCCATCTTTGAAGGTATTGCTAAATATTAAGTTGGTTGGTTCTTAATGTTGAATGCTCATATTCTTTTGAGACTTAATTTTTTTTACTTAAAGCTAGGTTGAGGTTGATACATGCTTAATGTGTATATAGCTCATTTGTACCACTGCATAGTATGTTGTCATTGGAATATGCCTCAGTATGTATATATATGCACACACATATGGGTGTGTGTATCAGTTTATAATCCCACTGGGAGGACACAGGAATACCCATTAACTCACATCTTCTCAAGCATTTGATATAGTCAGACTTTAATTTTTGTTAATATAATGGACATTAAGTAGTTTCTCATAGTAGTTTCAATATGCATTTCCGTGATTACTAATGAAGATGACCATCTTTTTCTATTCATCTGTTTTTTTTGGCTTTTCTCTTTTGAAGAGTACTTGTCACACGGGTATTGATATTGAGCTTTGTACCCGGCAGATATGTACAATCAACTATGTTACAATAAAAAACATTAAAAAAAAAACAAGTGCTTGTCAAGATGTAAAACTGCTTTTTCCAGTGCTTTGTTGGAACTTGAAACTTCACAATCTATCGTTATAAATATTCCAAGCATTAGAAAAGGAAAAAAATCTATAATGATTGCTTTTGTTTCCATCACCTAGATTCAACAGTTGTTAACATTTTGCCCTCTTTGCTTTGTTGTAATGTGTGCAAGTGAAAGTATATATACATATGCATGTGCATTTATTTTTTATTCATTCGTTTATTTTCTGAACTGTTTGAAAAAATTTCAGATGTCATGGCACTTTACCCATAAGAATTCTATGTGTATTCTTGATATTAATCTTTTGTTGTTGATATGTGTTGCAGATACTTCCTAATTTATTGTTGGGCTTTTCATTTTCTTTACGGTGTGTATCGGTAGAAGTTCTTAATTTTACTGTAGCTAAATATATCAATCTATTCCTTTATGATTTGTGCTTTTTGTGTCTTAAATTCTTCCCTATTCTAACATCATTAAGATAGTCTGTTACATCTTCTAAAAGTTGCTTTTCCTTTTCCTATTTAGAACTTTAACTATTTGTAATTGTTTTTTGTGTGTGGTGCTATGTATATGTCTCTTCCTGGGCTCTATTTGGTTCTGTTGGCCTATTTATCTCTTGCCACACTATCTAAATTAATACTCCTTATTTTTAATAATTTTTTTAATATATGGGAAGTTTTGCCCTGCCAGTATAATCTTGTTTCAAGAGTTTCTTAGCTATTTTTGTTCCTTTTCATATAATTTTTTTTTTTCCCTTTTTGTCTTTTTTCGTGACCGGTAACAGGATCGCAACCCTCGGTGTCGCGCCCGTACTGCGACTGGCAACGGATTGCAACCCTCGGTGTCGCACCCACACCGTGCTCAACCAGTGAGCGGACTGGTCTCTATATGGGATTTGAACCCTCGGCGGGAGCGCCACCGAGTGCACCACCGGGCCGGCCTGTTTTTCATATAATTTTTTTTTTTCCCTTTTTGTCTTTTTTCGTTACTGGTAACAGGATCGCAACCCTCAGTGTCGCGCCCATACCGCGACTGGCAATGGGATC